TGTGTGATGCCGATTTATAGTGCTAGCCCACTGAGATACCATGCCGCAGTTAAACATGAATACCCCACTCAGACACAGTATACCGACTCCTTGTTTTAGCCCCTTAATGCCGAGCGCCAGACAGGGTAACAACAAGTACCATCTTTTAACGTCATTTGGTATGACGCGGCCGGGGATCGAACCCCGGACCTTCCGCTCCCCGGGCGGACGCTCTATCACTAGACAACGGAGCCGGTCCGAATTTAGTAATACGGATTGGCAGTGTATTTTGGTCGGTTCTTACTTAAAAGCAACAACACCATCTCCAGAATCACAAGACATCTTTTCTAAAACCAGAGTCCATTATATGATTCCTGATATATCATCATGCGCTGATGAATCGCTATCAAATGGGGATGATACCAGGTTTACGCGAAAAGGTGAACGTCACAAACGCATGCAAAGGCAAGTCAATCACTCCCCTGAAACAAAAAAAGACGTATGGGTCAAGTCAGTATTGGGAATTGCTTAGGACATTATATTTGTCTCTTGTGCGTCAAATTTGGAATACGGATGTACCTTTTACAGCATATACACCGCGTCCTGCAGCTATAATATGCTGGATGGGTCCTTGTAACATATCCCATCAATCTTGTGGAGGATCCCCGATACCCAGGAATAGGCTAAACGCAAGTTTTAATTAAGAATGTTAGCATTTGAGGTACATTTTTATCCTTGAATTCTCAATTCACTAAGTCCCATGAAATAGCTTTTCGCCAAACCTTATCCTTCTTGTTCATTTTAATTTTTATTGCATGTAATACAAGGGAATATAGTAATCAGCTTGTATGTCCGTCCATCTGTCAGTCTGTGCATCCGTCATTATTTTGTGTCCTGGTTGTATCCATGAACTCATCGGTATTATTTCATGAAACTTTGCACACTCAAAGACCAGGTTGACAGGTGTTTCTTTTTAGGGTTTTAAGAAATTTTCATTTTTCCGTTTCAATAGTGTCCAAGGGCGTTAGTTTCGGCCCTCGGATGGTAGCTCAGGGTGATGACGGAAGACAAAACTCAGGGGTGAAGTTTAGACGACAGCAGCCATATTTATTGTTAATGGTTGAAATGAGTCGAAAAGGTACATGTTGATAATAACGTGACAGAACGCACACCGGGACCGAGTGGCCAATCTTCCCGGGTGGGAGAACCGTTCTGTCACTTACACGAGTCGATCTTCTGGCTGTCTCCAGGCTGTCTCCTAGCTGTCTCTCCCTGACTGACCATGTCAGTCGGGTTTTGTAGAGCGAGGTATTACGTAACGTGTGGCAAGGTCATTGTCCCACGTGTATTTATATACGTAAGATCCGGCGACGTTAGGAGGGGCTTATGATAAGAGGGGACACGCCGAATGTTTGCTGAATATATTAAACAGACAAAGGGCATAGAATTTCGGTGCACTTGGAAACATATTGAACCAGTAAGGTATTTAGATAAATGAAATGTAAAATAAAAGTATTGAAATGGTTTGCACTATTTTAAATAAAAGTATTGAAATGGTTTGCACTATAACAATAGCAACAGGTTTGACTTTGGGTAACTTCACATGGGTGTGTTTTTCCCGAGCATATCTCGCAAAAATACCGTTTTTCTTCAGTACACACATAAACTGACCAAACTGCGAACTGGTGCTTTCTTCATGAATTTCAATTGTATACAGACAGACAGATTAGATAGGAATACTCTCATCGAGATTGACATATCACACTTGTAGGACTAGCTGTATAATAAGATGATTTGTTCTTTCGAATTCGAGAGGCTGAGGCTGCGGCTCAGAACAGACCCATCCAGCATAGTCGTGGACATGATTTATGAGACAGGCGTTATTCTGAGAATATATTCTCTTTATCAAATTGCCATTTTGACAGTACCTGCTGACGGCGACCTTGACCTTTATAATCACACCAGTAACATAGAAACCATTGCTACATTTATTGAGGTAGAGATAAAATAGATACAGATTCACTCAATGCATCTTGCCATAAATACAATCACACAAAGAACAATTGTGAGATGAAACAGTCAATATGTACCTTGGGATTCGGAGTTGTGATGAGGTTATTGAAACAACAGCTTAATGTCAGTGGAAAGCCGACGGTTAAGAAGGTCGTGGACAGTGATGATTGTTTGGATCGCCATCATATCGAAACTGGGATTCGAACTCACGACAGTTGCTAAATGTCGCAGCTCTTATCTTATACCTATTCAATGTTTTAATAGTACCCGTTTACCCCTCGAAGGTATGGTTGTAATTAAGAACTTTGTCAGGATGTCAATAAAGGATCTCGGACCACTTGAGTGTGTCATACACCTTTTACCGTATACATATTAATAACGTCACAAATTAAATAAATCAAAATGTCAGTTCTATCCAGTTTAAAAAAAACAACAACTAATTTATCTTCTCCAAACCCTCACTATTATCAAAAGATACATCGTTCATTAGATTTTCGCAATCCTTTGTTGATTATTTGAATGAATGCATTCAATGTATATTCTATTTTATGATTATGTTTCTAGGTTTGTCAGCACCATATCCGTGCTCGATGAATTCGCTAAACTGGTAAAGGTCTAAGACCCCCATCACTTTGGACGTCTTCACACATCAGTCTGACACACAGCGATGCAACCGAAATATTTTCAAAAGAGGAGATGAACAAGACTCACTCACTCAATCACTAGAAGGAAACAAGATGTTACACTGCATTTTATATTGATACATTTAAATCACCGCAATCTAAGCTGACAATCACATTGAAGCCTATGGATTCAACTATCTCCTAATGTGTTATCAGTGACAAATGGAATTGTTGCAGAATTACACGCATTTCCTAAGTTCCTCCAGGCCAAAATCGAAGTGGTATTTTCGTAAATACTCGTTGTGCCGCTGTTTTGCGCTTTGGCCAGATCGGAATTAGAGTTGAGGGTAATTGATTAGTGTAATTAGCGTATTTTTGTATTGACGTTATCTTCTACTGAGGGGCCCAGTCAGCTCTAGCCGCCATAGGATGTGCAGAGTTGCGTCCCTTAGTTATAACAGAGCCCAATGATCGTTCATTCGAATCAAAGACTTTCCCTGATTATGTTTCTCGGTTTTTCATCACCATACTCATACTCGTTGCTTTCCCAGGTGGTAAGCCTCACTACCACTCAGATAGGAAGTTGACTTGGCGTGTTAAACCCAAATCATTTACTCATCGTCTGAAAGGTTTGTCATCATCAATTAGGTATTTGTTCATAAGGGGGAGGAGCGCTAGAATCAACCTCTTCGTATTTCGGTGGCTGAGGCACCTCAGCCCTGGGTCTCCCTGTCAATAAGGATGTCCTCTCGTTCGAGAAACGAGACAACACGCGACGAGGAGGTATGAGCTGTCGGAGGCCGTTGCTTCGTGGATCCTTGCAACATTTACACACGAAAGTAGTTAAAACACAACCCAAGAACAGCGAACAGGAGACATGCGGCGAAGGCTAGGGCGTAAACCCATGGCCTTGCGTTGCATGTTGTTGTTATAGATGAATCATCAAGAAAACTGTCATCCGATATATGGTACACGATGACCTGGTTTGAATCAAAGTCAAGATCAAGGTCAAGGTCACAGTTTATACTGTTCAAGCACCTGTTTGTAAATCCATTCGTATTATACAGTGTCCTCTTTTATTCGAATTCTGCTGTCATCCAAGTATCGTAGATGCTGGTTGTCGTCGGACGTGGATGCGTTCAACGTATAATGGTCCATAGAGCCTTGGCAGCCTTAGACACAATTCTTCCCTTAATAAAACTGTCGGAGCAAAATTTGTATCTTTTCCATGTGTTAAAGTTGTCTTCACCTTTAATGATATAGAGATCTACATTTGCATCAGCGCACGACATTACATTCATGACAGATCCTTCCAAAAGGTAAAATTTCCAGTAGCTGTAATCTCCATTAAGAATATATACTGAGTCTCTCTGTTGGTATTTCTGTATCTGATCTGTGTCAACGTCTGGCTTTGTGTTAAGCAGATACGCCGAAAACTCAGAGGTCGAGTCCAGAGTGAGGCTATCACAGAAAAGAGTTGATATCTTCCTGTTAAAAATACGCATATCAGTTTGAGCAACGTGCTGTTTGTAAGGACCGAACACGCTTAAAGCACACACCATCGCCCCATGCAAAACAATATGTCCATATGATCTGCGCGTGTTGTACTCTCCACTGTAGGTGGCGCTGCCTCCGAGGAACACGGACGAACTAACAGCGTCATGTCCGCCAGGTTGGTTCGAGCTGTTTGTCATGATTGGAACTTTAACATCGATGTATGTTGGTTCTGAAATGACAAGGAGGAAAAGTTCATGACTGTTAAAACACATTTTCCATTTGGGCTACCTACTTCACTTCCACCATATACTGTACTACACGAGTGGTAGGGATTATGTCCTCAGAAACCTATACTTATCGTTTATTTATTTATGTTTGTTTGTTGTATAACGCCGCACTCAGAAATATTCCAGCTATATGACGGCGGTCTGTAAATAATCGAGTCTGGACCAAACAATCGGAAATCACAAACACGAGGGACATGATGCACAATCAACCAGGTCACCGAGCCTAACCACATGATCAATCTGGCGACAAGCACCTGCGTTCATGCTCCGTGAATCGTCACCGTTGGCTAGTATTTAGACAAACGTGTCAGTGATGACAATGCTTGGAAGGAGAATTGCTTCCTTATCCAACCTCAACAAACATTCCGGAACAACGTTGTCATTATAATGAAACCGGACTTTACAATACGTCCTTGTCAGATTGCTGTGTTATAATTAGTCAATGTTATCGTGTGTCAATCCAGGCATTTGAAAAAGTTGAGGAAGTCTTTTTCGGTTCTACTTCCCTGTCCCCTGAGACCTGTCGGTGAAACGTGACTGTCGGCGTGTAAACAAACGTTTATCAAGTGTCTGCATTCAGTTCATGTTTTTGCGGCGACCAGGAAGTAGACTATCTTGCCGTGAAGGGTATAGCTGTCGTAACAGCTATACGATTTAGAGAAACGATATCTTAATTTGACAACCAGGGCAGTTGTACCCATGCGGTAGGTGGTGTTTGGTTACCTTTAAGACAAAAAATTGTAACAGCTTTTAGTCCGAGTTTATTTCAAAGCGTATCTAACATATGCATAGCAGCATTTGTTGAACGTTTGTAGAGTGTTTAAACTGTACTGATGTTT